AGTTTAACTTTTAGAGCAGCCAACGGGGCTCTTCCAGTTTATATGGAGGTAAACAAATCTTAGATAAAGTGAGCACAGGCGTCCCTTTAAATGAATCAGAAAAATGATCGTAAAATAAACTCATGGGATAGCTTTGCAATCCACAAAATCCAAATTGTTTTCTTTTGTGCGCTCATTACAGTGAAGTTTTCTCTGTTAAGACTAATAGTTGTTGTATTTCCCCACTTGCACAATAATGTGATGACTCATTGCATCCTACGTAGATTTACAACCCTATTTTTACTCTGAGAACAGTGAGAGTGTCTTCCTTACTCGCTCAATTCCCAAATTCCCCAAATCGCCTTCCTTTGTTCATTTTTTACTGTCCACCGGGAGGGAACTTTAGGAACCTTTTTACTCACACATACACACACTATTTGTACAGGGACTGCTAAATACACCCTGACAAACGTATCAGTTGCATTGTATCCTAATGGTTGTTCCTCATACTTGTGTAAACGTTTTAGCCCTGAGGGAGCTGGCGCACCTGTGTGCCTCCCAAAAGATGTGAAAGTGCTAATAGGAGGAATTTCCTCTGTGTTTGTACTGTACCTGCAGTCGGAGTAAGGCAGGAAATCACGCTCACACACTACTGATAAACAATTCGCAAATAATTTGGTTTACTGACATTCTTGTTTTCTTGTAAATTGGATTTCTTTCTTTTGTCATGACACTACACATCTTTGATAGCTTTTCTGTTTTTTTAATCACGTCACATAAGCAGTAGGTGTAGGGCTGCATCCTACGCATGCCTGTTCAGCTGGCTATTGAACACGCTCTCAGTGCATTGTTTTTCCCATCAGCTGTGGCCGGGTGGTAGCAAAAATGTTCACAAAAACAAAAGGCACAAGCATGAAGATACTTAGCTGAACTTACACGAGCCGACTCATAAAAAAAAAAAAAGGCGATCTATGCATCACCATCAGGAATGCCATGTCATCCTCCCCACTCCCTCTCCCCATCTTTCATCCATAAATACCCCATGACATTTAGAATCTGGCCCCCCTTAGCCCCAACCCCCACCCTGTGTGTGTGTGTGTGTGTGGAGGACTGAGTTGAGGGTGGTGTCCGTCTGTCTGATTCTGAGTCCTGCGATGACCCAGTCTCCCAGGCCTGCAGGGGAGCCACAGAGGTTGCATGCAGGATTCAGCTACTGTTCTTTTTTTAATGCTGCTTCTATTGGTTTTCCTGTTACCCGTTCCACAGAAAGACAGCACACAACTATTACCTCTTGACAAAGTAATTTTATGATTAATTTTAAGCCCTTAAAACGATATTGATTTGAAAATAAAAATAATAACGCCAACGTTTAAGTTTGTAATTTGTTTGTTTTTAATTCAGTTCAACCGCTTTGGAGCATTTCCCTTGAAACAACAAATCACGATGCTTAAAATGAATTATTTCATCGCAAATCTACCAATTGGTACCATCAAAGAAACGGAAGTGCACACTTTATGCACTTTGTGGACATGCAAACAGGGGAGACGATGGTGAGTTGATGGGCCCATGAGCAAGTTTCTTGGGGTAGGTTGCGCTTGCTCAAGGGTACTCGGGCAGTGCAGCAGGGAGGTAAACTGGCACCCTCTCCAAGCACCAGTCCACACTCCATATTGTGGTGTGTGGTACTTGAACTGGCGACCCTCAAGTTCCCAAGCCAAGTCCCTACACACTGAGCTACTGCCGTCCCAGTATTGGCTTCATGTCACTTGGAAACACTGGAAATTAGGGAAATTTGTGTGTTATGTTGTTATGTCTCAGCACCACTTTGTATGAAAAGGATAGTTTGGATATTTGGGGGTACTTCACATTTCCTACACAGAGTGAGATAAAGTTGCGTCATAATGGTTCTTGCTTGGCCAGCTAAAACGACCATGAAAAAAAAGAACAAGAGGAAACAGATTTTTACCTTTAGTGAGCTTCATAGGTGTACATAGATATAGAAGGTAAATGATGAACATTTCTGCCTACAATGGAAGTTTAACTAGAGCTGATTATATTTATTTTTTGTTTTTATTGGTATTTACTATTAATCCAAAACTATGTGTATAACTATATGTGTGTGTGTATATATATATTGTACTATACAGACATGAAAGTGGTATCGATCTTACTCTATTGCACAATCAGAGGCTAATTTATTTTTATTTATTTTTTTGCTAATTTATCTATTCATTTTCTAGTAATGAAAGTTTTTCTGAGCTCAGTGATTGGCATTTTTCTCACAACAGCAATCCATGCCATGAATACATTTAAAACAATGTGCTAATACATCTGGATATTTTCTGTAAGAAATCTCTTAAATCTCTTTTTTGCATCTCTTTATCTGTAAAATCCCACCATCTATCCATCCACCAAGCTCTCCCCAGTGCATTAAGAAAATCAGTGTAATTTTGCTCAGGCCTACTGTTATTTCCGTAACGTATTTCCGTTCCATTCAACCGCCACCCTGAACCAAATCCACTTTTCTTAATTCCCCCAAATACTCTCCCTAATGAAACGGAAACACTATACAGTACAAGGCAATGTTTTCACTTCACATACCACCTGGCTCCTCCCTGTATTCCTGCTAACTTAATCCAATTTCCATCTGTTGCATGTGATCTATGTCATCCTATATGCAGTTTGAGCAGCTGGCCTTTCTGTGGATGGAGCGGCAGAAGTCCGGGGGGAACTACAGCCGCTACCGGGCACAGACGGAGAAACACGTGGTGCTGTGTGTCAGCTGTCTCAAGATCGACCTCCTCATGGACTTCCTCAATGAGTTCTTTGCTCACCCCCGACTACAGGTCTCTCCAAATGGGTTTTAAATAGGACAAAGGGGTGCTGGGGGGTCTTGTTTGTGTGTGCTTGTTTTCGGTAATCCTCTTCAGGAGCCTGAGCAGCTGAGGTTAAAGAAGAGGATTAATAAAGCAATAGTGCGGCTCAAACTGCTGTCTTATTCATGTTGGAGCAGATGTGTGTGTTTGCTTGAGGGTGCATCTATGCATGCATATCCAATATGAGTGGTAAAACATCCTCAATGCTACACCGACTGTCCAGTGTCCTTTGACTTAATACTTAGATAGAGAGATAGATATACTTTATTGATCCCAAGCTGGGAAATTGCAATTGCTTACCAAAATATCATGACCTGAAAGCATGAGAATCTTCACAGATCCAATCCAATCCAATCCAACTTTATTTGTTAAGCACTTTAAGACGGGCGATGGAGGACCCACTAACCCCTACACAGACATAGACAGAACCTCCATGTTGAAGTGAATTACCTTTAGGGATAATTTTATGAGTCACAACTTATTTCAATTGTATAGAAATTATAAAATATTCAAGTTAACTTTAAATGAAAATAATAAAAAACATTGTATTATGTCTCGTCACAGGTAGTAGCCTACTGGTAAAATTATTTGGTTTTAGGTCTAGGGGAATTACCTCTAGTATCAGCTACTGACAGGCCACAACATACCCTGAATGTCTTGATTGCCAACAGCAGGAAATAGATGCAGGCCTTACTTGAAACCAGGTGAGGTCAATCCGCTATCCACAGTGGCTTCATTCCTCTTCCGCAGCCAGCCCTCTCCGGCCCTCTCTTGGGTCGTCAGTGCGTTCACTGAGCTCAGCGTCTATTTCAGCTCATTAAACAAGTACACGCAGACTGAAACTAAACCAAAACAGGAATTAGAATTATTATTCATTGTCACAGTCTCAACGAAAAGTTGCTCTTTTCTATTCTCTGTTGTATGCCACTCTAAAGTGTCCATGTCTCTATTGTATCTCCCCTGGCCTCTTGCAGGCTCATATTATGAAACACATTCTCTTGAAGACTGGCAACCAATCAAAAATAAATGATAAACTTTCACTGTGACACTTGTGAATGTCCTGTCTGCATATTAAATGATTCCACATGGTGTACCAACAGCAAATTTAAGACTACAGATTGAATATAGTCAGTGAAATATTTTGTATATGCTTCTCAGTCTGAACACATCTGATCCAGCAGACGTATTACTGATGTCTTGCTTGTGGTTGAACCCTCTACAGCCACAATACAAATTCTGTGTGTATGTTTGTGTGCGTGTAGGACTACTATGTGGTGATCCTTTGCCCAGCAGAGATGGACGTCCAGGTTAGGAGGGTACTTCATGTCCCCCTGTGGGCCCAGAGAGTCATCTACCTGCAAGGTTCTGCCCTCAAAGACCAAGACCTGATGAGGGCCAAGTGAGTCACTGTGACCAAACACAACAATAATGAACAAACAAGAGTCTAGCATTAAAACAGAAGAAAAAAACCCTGAAATAAAACACCTTGAAACACATGTAGAAGCAGGGACTCATAATTAATACCTAAAGCACCTACAGCTTTGAACTGCTGTAATTACAGTTTGAGTCATATTGCTTATTGTTTACCCCCTGGCTTGTGATATTACAGTCACAGCACCTTAGTCTGTCTTTGTCACAGGGAAAGAAAAGGAGCAAAAAGCCTGTATGTTTAATCTCCCTGTCTCCTTGCCTCCTGCTATCTCATCCATAAATGGCGTGGGCTTGAAAGACACATTGGTTTGTTTGTTGTTCTATTGTCCTGCTTTTTTCTCTTTTGTCTTCTCCCTCAATAACATGACAACACCCTCCTTCCTGTGTCTTCTCTCCTTATCGCTTCCTGATTTTCTCTCTCTCTCTCTCTCTCTCTCTCTCTCTCTGTTTATCTATCTCTCTCGCCCCCATGGCCACATGCTCTACTAACTGCCTGCAGGATGGACGATGCTGAGGCCTGCTTTATCCTCAGTAACCGGTTTGAAGTGGACCGCATTGCTGCTGTACGTTCCTCACTTCTTCCCTGTATCGCGATGACTCCTCATACTGCAAAACATCCACATTAAGACCTCTTGCTTGATAATGAGCCTTGAAATTTAGTTTTTCTAAAAACAGATGAAAACCTCTTGTAATTTGCTTTTATCATTTTTGATAAATTTTGTGTTTTCTGGACTATTGCGTCATTAAAAAAATCATAAAAGCCGCATTGGAAACAAATGCTCACTGCATTGGCTGGATTTTCGTGCTTGCTAGGTTATGGTTGGGGATTTCTGTATCTTTTTACTAAAACATGAATTGAACAGTGAAAGGCTTGACAGGAAAATGTGCAAAAAAAACAAACAATAAACTTTATAGGTGTGGTGTTATACAACAGCGCACGCCATGACAGTGTTAAATCAAAATTCTGGACTTCACAGTCGATAATTCGGCAGCACATGCCTTCCTTAATGTCAGTAAACCAGAACTGAATTTAACATAAGTGAGTCAAAATTGACGAGAACCAAATTAAACCTTAATAATTACCTGTAATTTTTAAACTAAAACCAAGCCTGTTAGTGGCATGGTTCTATAGGTGGCAATGTCGCTCCACCACTCAAATGTCTCAACAATAATTGGATGAATCACTATGACAGTGAGTACAGACATTCGTGTACCACAGATCAGGAATCCGACTGTCTTTAGTGAGACCCTGACTTTTCATCTAGCACCACCATGGTAACAATTTAGATTTTTAGTGAAATGTTTCAACAACTGTTTAATGGATTGCCATGAAATTTTGTAAAGACATTCATGTCACCCACAGGATCATTTTGAATCACTTTGGTGATTCATTTAGTACCATCATCAGTTCCAAATTTTAATTTGTTCACTACTTTATTTTATTCCCATCAACTTCAGCTGTACTGCAGTTAGGTATGTTAGAAATGATGTTGAAATGGTGAATACAGTAAACATAGCTAAACGTCACAATGTTAGCATTCTCACTGTGAGCATGTTGTGCCGTGAGTACACAGTCTTGCGAGGGCCATTCAATTGCTCTGTGCAGTCAGTGTTTTAAGAGGATTATTAGAGAGGAGCTACAATTTGTTGCTGCTAATGATGGGTTTCTACCTCTCTCTCTCTCTTTCTCTCTGCCTGTCTCACTTCTCCTCTCTATCTCCCTTGTTTTCACTCCATCCATCTCACTCACCCCCGTTTCCAATTTTCTCAGGATCATCAGACCATCCTCCGAGCCTGGGCAGTGAAAGACTTTGCTCCAAATTGCCCCCTCTACGTCCAGATTCTCAAGCCAGAGAACAAGTTCCACGTCAAATTTGCAGGTGGGCAGGGGGTGTGAAATCAGATACACTGGTTGTCACTTGAGGTGTCACCTAAAGGTTTGTGTCTCTGTCTTGTTTGGATGCAACTACTGTTATTTGATCACATCATGATGCAGGAAATAATGGGATGGCACCTGCTGAAAAAATACATCTTCCTGGCCCAATTTGACAGGTGATTTGCTCAGTCTGTGTCTGGAATTGTCACCACCAGTCATGACACACGGCAATGTAAAAGATGGGTGACTAGGTAAGCATTGTCATTTTGCTACCGCAGGGTTGCTTTGTGAGCTGTCCTGTCTGCACCTTATTTCAATTGTGGGTCCTCAGCTGTCAAGTCCCATTTTCTACCTGAGTTTGTCAGCTTTGTCAGCTTGATTTGTAAGCCTCCTCCCAGCTTTGAAGAAGTGCTGGACAGATGGGCTCGACTTGGCTCTAAGCCTTTGAGGGTGTCTGTGAGTTTTTACATCGCCTTTTGGAGAGCGTCCCTTCTTCTCCTACTTAGCAGAAGACGCCAGTCAATCATCTGTGAGTGAAAGAAGAGGAACCAAACTCTCTCTCACCCCTTCCTCTCTCTCACACATCTCTCTGCCTACAGCCCTGGAGAACATCAAACTCAATTCTAGCTTGCCACCCTCATCCCAGCTGTCTCTATCAATGATTCATGTTTTACTTTGCAACCTTGGCAAAGGAAATGCCCTTCTTTTGATGAGTTCTGCTGTTGTGCTAACCTTACCCTAGTTCTGCCTGCAGCCAATTCTTGTTTGCCCCTGCAGTGCTTATTCGGGGCATTGTTAGGTAGAAAGATACATTTGTTCGTCCACGATAACACCAGTTCTATATGGTTATCAGTTGGCTCTGTGAGGTGAAACTTCTTAAGACAGCTGTCACGTGTATGTACATTTCTTGTTTGGGGGTTTTTCAAATATCCTTATTCAATTTTAAAATATGATATTATTTCTTCATAGCCAGTGGTGGACTGAGGCAGGTTTGAGGGGGAAAAAAGAGGGTACTCTCCACTGGAAGGGCACCCCAGGGGGCACTTTAACATATTTTGTCCACTGGAAGGGCAGCCTGTATAGTAGCAGTGGTTCAGTGCTCCAACCAGAGTCGAATAATCAGGTTGTCAGGTCTAACATAACACATGAAAGCTACCAACCTCACAGAGGAAGACCATTGTTATTACTTTGCTCACAGACAGAACAACAATTAATTCCTGTTTTTAGATTTATTGAAATAACGGCACCTTCACAGTCAACATGTCTGCTTTAAGCCTAAAAGCATTATAATAGAATAATAATGATAACAATAATAGCTAAAAATACATTTTCATATTACTGCGGTAACTGGGCCTGTTGATATGTATAAAAACAGAGTAAATAGTCTGTATATTATATAGTTTGTTTTTGAGTTCTTGTCCCTCGTGTTGAATGTCTTTAAAGGGATGACATTGCTGAGAGCTGCTGCCTCCTGCCTCTCATTCCGCGCTGTTTGCCACATTATGTTAATTTATTTTATTCTCTACAACCATTTGGCAACCCCCAGAAATTATCTCACAACCCCCTTGGGTGTCCCTAACCCCCAGGCTGAAAACCACTTTAACATGTTTTATCCACTGAGTGCCCCTCTGGTGGTCAATCCATCACTTTTCACCGCTGGAAAGGAACCTTAGAGGGCACTTCTATCTATCATCTTTTATCTACCTTAGGGATATCCAAGAGGGTAAATAAGAAATTTACTGTAAGACTATAGTGAAAAGTAAGTACCCCTTTAAACACACAAAACACATGAGTTTAAACAAAGCAAAGGTCATAATCACCTTCCTATAATGTCCCTATAATCCTGAAGACACCATAGGTAGACTCAGAAAGCGAATCAGTATGCAGTCATATGGGCTTTACTGTAAGTACAGACGCCATGTTTTGACACCACTTGGAAAATTCTCACTAAGTGCTAGTGTGGGAGGCATTAATGAGCAAGAGACACAAGATTTAATTTGATCTGCAGGAATAGCTTAATAACAGCCCGGCATTCATTAGGGAAGATCTGTCGGTATGATGCTGCAGCAGGCCAGGAAACCCTGAGGCATCTGAGTAACAAAACACAACTGGGTACAGAGTGTCGATTGATTATCTCCCCAGTTTACATTTTGAACGACAATAGCCAGGCGCCCCCGTGAGCTCGGCTCATTGTAGCAGCACAGTGTTGATATCAGTGGACTCATTCAAACAATAACAGCATACTGATTTAATTAGCTCTACCGGTGGACCTGTGGTCAGGTTGTAATTGCACTCTTACAGAGGGTGCAAATAACCACACGCATACACACATATTTGCACACACAGGATTACATCTTTAACACCAGTCTGTGATAGAAAACAACACGCAGTCGGGAGAGATGGATACAAAAACCTGGATCTTCTAGGCGAGGGCGACAGAAAGAGAAAAGAGAGAGTGTGTGTGTGTATGCTCAGTGTTGGTAATTGGTTTCTCTCCTGGTCTTGGTCGCGTCACCTGAAGGATAGAGAGCAGGAAGGAGGGCTGTGGTGAACGGTAAGTAGAGGAGAAGATGTGAAATGAAGGGATCACAGTGGTGAAGAGAGGTTTAGGAAGGACACTGGAAATTGGATATTGGAAAAAAATCTATTTGGTGTGTCACTACTGTGTCTGTGCTTTGGGAGTTAGGAATGTAAGAGATTGAGAAAGTGGAATGTGTCTGTAACAGTAATGAATACTGTTCTCCGTGGATACACCATCAGTGTTTATGTCTCTGCAAGCTTTAGATGCCCATAGCTCTGTAAAAGCTTCCGCTTCAAAAGAAATTCACAGGCTGAATAGCAAGAGGCTATTCTTTGTGTTTGTGTGTGAGCTGCATTATGATGTACTGTTCTGAGCCAAAAGGACATTGATACTTCAACAGAAGATCCACAATCAGCTGTATTAATTGCCATGTCTCTCACCTGCTCAGCTTCAGGCTCACACAGACATGACTTATTTTTTTATTAAAAACTGCATTTACATCTCAGCTGGCCTCCTGTTACTCAGACTGGCAGCTGATTGAGTCTGATACTTTATGTCAGACTCTGACATTTGCCACCAATTATTTCCTAATACGGAGCACGTATTGTGCTTTTAGGACCTAGCTCAACATTGTTGGTAAACAAGCCATAATATGACTGTGTGCTCATCACCGAAGATAATGCAATCAAGAATTACACAGCAAAGGAAATGGATGCTCCCTGGGCCTGAATCATTGATTGGTTTACTAGAAACATTAATCGCTCTATTGGTTTTTCCTCTCAAAGTAGAGGCTGCCTGGCAAGAGGTAAACAAGGGGACTGTCATCTGTGTTTGTTCAGTTTGGTTTGGTTTGGTTGGCTCGGAGGCAGCGCTGCGTTAAGTGTCGGATGGTGTGAGTGAAAGGTGGTTTAATAAGGCTGTCACTGAATAACTGGCTTGTTGCTAGGTCTTCCCATCATCCCCAAAAACTGAGCAGTGGGCCACAGCGATGACATACAATTGATCCCATGGAAGTAAACAGGGAATGTGTCTTAGCAGGGGCGAGAGGATGATGGAAGACGTCTGACACGGCTGTCTGACTCATTTGTTTGTTAGCCAAATATGAAGTGACAAGACATTTTACAACATAAAACAGGGACATGATAGCGTGTGTGTTTGTGTCTTTCGGTCGCACTGTAAGCTGCAGCCATTAACAGTGAAATGCATGATACATTGTGCATTGTGTGTGTGTTTGCACATAGAGCCACAGAGCACCCATCAACCGTTACTGAGAATATGTCGGCAGTAGAAAGTATTTTTGTGCAAACTGTTCATATTTTGGATTAAAGTGAGTAACCTGGATATTGTTTTCCAGAAAGACGTATTGCTATTTAGTTTATCAAATGTTATTTTTCAGTTATTTGAGCTAGGGATTAAACATTTAGTCAATTAACAATTTTGGTAATTTCCATTTCAGTTGTATTCAAAGCAAAAAAAACTTCGGAGATGTATTCAGATACAACTCTGCATGGCTAAATATTACTAGGGATTAAGTGAGATCAATTGTGATTTTTTGTGTGACTTGGTTGAGTGGGCCCTCAAGAGGATGTTATTTATTTTAAGCCCTCAACCCTTTATGTCACTTACACCTGTATTAATGGGATGAAGCCATCAGTTTTCTCTGTCACTCGCCCATACACACACTGACCAAGACCAGGAGAGTCTTTTCAGTCAGCACATTTGTATTCACTGCAGTGTTCTTGGGTTTCAGAATTTAAAGTTTTATGGAGCACAATGTCAGTGGTTGTGTTTTGCCAAGGCATGTGTGACCTGGGTCACTTTGCCCCTCTTGTTTCCTGTTTCTGCAGATCATGTGGTGTGTGAAGAAGAGTTTAAGTACGCCATGCTGGCTTTAAACTGTGTGTGCCCCGGTACCTCGACACTCATCACTCTATTGATCCACTCTTCCAGAGGACAGTGAGTTCACTTTCTTTCTCCCTATCCCTCTTTTCTTTTGATTGCTCACAGCATGGCCTTACAGTCTTGACAGTGAAATATACAGTAGATATAGAGAATAGAAATGAGCTTGTTCTTGTCTCCTCACTGTCACTCAACTTTGTTGGGGTTTTTTTTTTCAGAACGGCACCCCAGGAGGCCTTCAAGCAACGTGTAGGAGCTTTTCAAGCCCTCAACAGGTAGTATGCATCTGATCTGTATTCACAGCCAGAAATTCTGTGGCACATTTGTGCTCAATGTTCACCCAAATCCTCTGTCAGCTTCCATAGTTTGCATGCTGTGCTGTGTGATTCTGTGAGAGTTGGTAAAAGGAAAAAAAAAGCTTGTAATTTAGAAATTGTGCTTAGAAGATGTTCAAAATTTTTTATAGATTTGAAATAACTGTCATGTTTGTCAAACATTACACAAGAGGCAAAATATGAGTGTGTTTTGTTGGTTTTGTTTGGTGGTTCAGTCACATCTCTCACTTTCTGGTTGAAGAGCAATTTTGGTATTTTGCTCACAAGTTGCAGTTTGTCACTTAATGCGAGACTGACCATAATCACCACCAGAATGTTATTTGGGCAAATCATCTCAGTTACTTAGTTAACTCCTACTCCTTTTGATCATTACTGCATGATAGCAGAATTATTCCAGTGATTAAAATGGTGCTTAAATATCATTTGTTGTTGTGTTTCATGGTAGATGTCCTCACAACAACAGGATATCCACACAAAAAACAAACCTGCTATCACTCCTAAAATATGAAGTATTAGTCGTATTAGTAAATATTTAGTAATGTAATGTTTTTACATAAGAGAGTACAATATACCTTTATCATACCATATCTTTTAATTATGGATAGGGAAGAAACACATAAATGACAAAGTCTTGCATTATATGTGAAAATACATTGTTGAAGAAATACCAATTCAAATACGTTACTATAATAAATATCATTTGTGTCTGATGAGTTCAACATTCATGTGTTTCATAAGTATGCTCTGGACTTGATGCCATGTGGTTTATTGGCTGTGACAATGCAACATGACTAGAAATTGTCATCCTCCTTTCCTGCCTTGCACTTATTTCCTGTAAACTGCAAATTCGCTATAACACTTGTTTATATAATGCCGTCTTTGTCGCAGGCCACCCACATTCACGCTGCCCCCACACCCTTGCTTCCTGTTATCACCTCTTTAGCCTTCTCGGTTAAAGACATATCCCCCTGAGAAAAATGTTGTCCACTTAACTGTGTGAATGTGTACATGTGGGGCCTATTGTTCAGACAGCCTGGGTGTCCTAGTGTACATCTGTGTGCTGATTGAAGTATTGATCAGCAGCTCTGACAGAGATGTAAGATGTTACCTCTGCAACCGTGAAAATCTTCTGATGTGGTCAATATGCTGAGCTGGATTCTTCTTCTGTTTTAAAGGTCAAGCTTTCCCCACATGGCCCTCAATCCTCTTTTTTTGTCTTAGGGAGGGCGGTGCGTGTTCAGCAGACCAATGGCACCGAACCTACCGGCGCTGCTCAGCTAATGAGGTACATCACATCCGCCTGGAGGAAAGCAAATTCTTCGGGGAATACCAGGGCAAGAGTTTCACCTTTGCCTCCTTTCATGCTCACAAAAAGTAAGTCATGACGTGAAAAGCCAAAAAATGAGAACACACACCAACCTGTACGGTTCAGATCTGACCTTGTCTCTCCGGCTGCAGGTATGGAGTATGTCTGATCGGAGTACGCAGATTGGACACCACCAACATCCTGCTGAACCCTGGTCCCTGCCACATCATGGGTGCCTCTGACACATGCTTTTACATCAATATCTCAAAAGAGGAGAACTCTGCATTTGTCAGGGGCCAGAGGGAGCCATCATGGGGCGGCAGTGGAGGAAATGCCAGGGGAGTGCACCAAACCATCTACCATGGACTCACCCGCCTGCCAGTCCACAGTATCATTGCCAGCATGGGTCAGTCGGATGGGCACGGCACAAAGACTGTGTAACATTTGCACACTGACCTTCTGTTTGCAGTTTCTGTGTTAGTCAAACATGAAAAACCAGTCATTAAACTGTCTTAGACAGCAGCACAGTCACAGCTGTCAGAATTATTCATTTCTCACATTTTAAACCTATCTGAGTGATTAAAAATATTCATAGCTTTTCCAAGGAATTATCCTGTATCAGATTATAAGTCACACTTGATAAGAGCAACTGCCAAATGAACTGAAATGTCACATACTGCAGTTTTACAAACACTCCACCTGGTGGACAACAATGAAACTGTCCACCTCACTGCTCTCACAACAGTATGAGTTATCAGGGATCTGCGCAAACATATCACGTATAGTGTTTGAAATTTTACCTTCATGTCTCCATTGATAATCACTGTCGCCGTGTGTGCATGTTTCAGGCACAGTGGCCATTGACCTGCAGGACTCCAGCGACAGCAGCCCAGAAGGCCAGGACCCGGGGAGCACTGGGCTGGGCAGCGGGAGAGGAAGCAGGAGCAGCTCCAGGACAGAGATGAGTGGCGCTAACACTTTGGCCCTGCCTGCCATGGGAGACTCAGCCGAGGAGAGGAGGCACAGCATCGCCCCCGTTCTGGAGCTGGTGGATGGTGTCAACAACCCCACCTTTGACCTGCTGGGAGACCAGTCAGAGGACGAGGGAGGGGAAGAGGGAAAGGAGGACAGTGACAAAGATGAGAGTGCACACTGGTGGGGTCGACACTGCGAGTAAGCAATGAAGATGCTGTTTGAATTTTCTCTCATGTAAACTTGTTCAGAGGTAATCGTCAGCTTGTGCCGCAGGTGGGTGAAGGGATACCCGCTGAACTCTCCATACATCGGCAGCTCGCCTACGCTGTGCCACCTTCTTCAAGAAAAGATGCCTTTCTGCTGCCTGCGCATGGACAAGGTATGGGATTTAAATGGCTTGCTATTTTTATTTTACAAGTTCACATTGCACATCACCTTCCATGGCCCTCTGCTGCTCTCCTAGGCCTGTCATCACACCCTTTTTGAGGATGCCCGCTCCTACGGCTTCAAAAACAAATTGATCATTGTGTCCGCTGAGAGTGCAGGGAATGGTCTGTACAACTTCATTGTGCCTCTACGGGCCTACTACCGACCCAGGAAGGAGCTCAACCCCATTGTGCTGCTGCTGGAGGGCATGTAAGGACACATTTCCGTTATTTGGTGTGATTCGGTGCTTGTGAACACAGCTTCGAACTAAAATAGGTTATGTGTTAGTGTTGCCCAAAATTGTTGCTGCGAGCATAATGGCTACGCTACAAATCTAGGTTGCCGGGGATGGTAAAATGGGTTCCTCCTTAAATAGCCAGCAGAAGAGAAAAACTGAGCTATTTAAGGTCGCTGTAAACATGATTTGTGAAATGCTGAATGCTTTCAGGACAATGCGCTCCGCAATCCTGTGTCGTGTTTTGTGGCTGCTACACAAACGCAGTCGGCCAAATGAGAGTGGAATCCAATAAAAAGGCAATAAAATGCTGAGTCACTCCAGTGTAGTGCTGTTATTTTCAGCTTTCTCTGCGGGCAGTTTGGCTGTGTTGTATTTCTCAGGCTGAGTGAGGGGTTTCTGTCTCTGTGGGAAAGTTAGCTCTTCATCATGGCACGTATAAATCTCTACTGGTGGGAATCTCAAGTCTATTTGTGTTTTGATTGGTTCAGACCTGAAGCTGACTTCCTGGAGGCAATCTGTTGGTTCCCCATGGTGTTCTACACAGTGGGCTCCATTGACAAGTAAGACAGATCAAACCTCCTGGCTGACTTCATTATTTATGCTCCTTTTTTTTATCTTTTACTATTTCCTTCACATCCTTTCCTTCATTTATGTACTTATGTACTCAAGTGACAGTTTACTCCTCTTATTTTTAGATTTATACTTACTGCCCTTAAACACTGATCTTATTTTTCTTCATCATGCCCCACTCACGCTTCTCTCCCACTCTCGCCACAGTCTGGACAGTTTGCTGCGATGTGGAGTGACTTTTGCAGACACCATGGTGGTGGTTGACAAGGAAAGCTCCATGATTGCAGAGGAGGACTACATGGCCGATGCAAAAACAATCGTCAATGTCCAGACCCTCTTCAGGTCTGCTTTGCTCAAAATTGCTCTGCAATCTCCCACACTAGCTTAAAGTGAGTGTTTTTTTACCCATTATTCTCTCTCTTTGTCTGTGTGCCTCTTCCTCCCCAGACTGTTCCCAGCTCTTAGTATCATCACGGAGCTCACCCACCCAGCCAACATGCGTTTTATGCAGTTCAAAGTCAAAGACCACTACTCTCTGGCGCTCTCTAAACTGGAAAAGGTAAAAGCTTCATACCTTCAAACCTCCACTTTCTTTCTCTCTCATCTCAGGTCACAATGAAAAAAATGAAGAGAACAAACAGAGCAGACTGTTTAGCAATATGAAAGCCATCCTTTCAGATTTTTTTTCAAAAAGGATGTTTTTGAAATACATTCACTGAATCACTGCTAATGTTGCTTTGTTTTGATGAGAAGCTTTAAGCTGAAAAATAGTTTTGTCACAACCACTGTGAAGTGTCGCAGTTAACATTTCTAACTGATTGTAGCCTTGTGGTTTTTATTTTCACCCCACTGCTGCTCGCCTTTTTTAACCGCTGTTGTTGTTAATGTCGCTCTCTGTGTGGCAGCTAATGAATTTTCCCTTTGGGCATCAATAACATTTATCAACAAATCAGCAAAGGGATTAACATTATTATTCAATAACAGTTTTTGAAATTTCTAGCAGTGATCCCTTACAGCAGGAAGGACCTTTCTTTGTTTGGGCAACGTATGTTTTTGTGTTGTTTTCTTAGGATTTTCTTGTTTAATCCCACGTTACAAAAACTGATAATGAGAAGAAGAAACATTCACCACATCATCTTATCTCTACAAAGAGCAGTGTAATCTTGGAAAAATGTGTGTGTGTGTGTGTGTGTGTGTGTCGGTGGGTGTATGTTTATGTGTTTGATCTGCAGAAGGAAAGGGAGAAGGGGTCCAACCTGGTGTTTATGTTCCGCCTGCCCTTCGCGGCAGGAAAGGTGTTCAGTGTCAGCATGCTGGACACTCTCCTCTACCAGGTATTTTAAACTCTTCTCTTGGACTGAACACAACCAAAATCCTGTTTCTCAGTGTGGCAAAATGCCAAATATGATCTATTTCTGTTGACTTGCTTCCTGCCAGTCATTTGTGAAGGACTACATGATCTCCATTGCAAGGCTGCTGCTGGGTTTAGACTCCATGCCTGGTTCAGGTTTCCTCTGTGCTGTAAGTATTCGAACACAAACAGCTGGAATTCTGAATCTGTCTGTTTGACCTGTGAAGTGCCTTTGAGTATGATTATTGTGTTTGTGTGTTTTCTAGATGAAAATCACAGAGGATGACCTGTGGATCCGCACGTACGGCAGGCTCTACCAGAAACTGTGCTCCTCCAATGGAGACATTCCCATTGGCATCTACCGGACAGAGGCACATAAGCTTCCAGTCTCTGAGGTCAGCTGCTACTGTTGCTAGTTTTGAGTTTTGTGGCCAAAAGCCACTGGTTAGCAACCCCCAGAGGCCACAATGTTCATTACATCCCACAATAAGAAGTGGTTGGTGAAACAAAGGTACTGATGATGTTGGTTTACTTAAACCTTACCTTAGAAAGAGAGGAAAGATCAGAAATATCCAGATATAGAGGCATACTTATGAGACACATGAATGTTCAACTCATCAGACACAAGTAATATTTATTATAGTAAAGTATTTGAATTGGTATTTCTTTTACAATGTATTTTCACATATAATCAAAGACTACAAAAAAGTTACAATAAAACACGAAAAAGTGAGTCACTTCCCTTAAAGGTTTATTTAAACTGAGGCATCTGCCCAAATGTTAATTCAATTTGTCCATGTTTTGCCAACCGTCTGATATTAGTTTTGATATATGTATTTTTGACCTGAGACAGACATATTACTCATTAGACATGATGCAGGAATACGTGACAACTTTGCCAATGTGCCACTGCCATCTATTTTTTAAGAAAAACTAGAGACACAATGTTTTTTTCTGTTGGACAAAAGATATTTAAGAATGTTGGACTATTCATTATATCTTGTCTCTCATTCATTTACAGTGTGATAAGAAAGTATTAAATCTGATTCATTTAGAGAAATTGGAGACCGGTAAAGAATGGATTTAATAAAAACCAGTATGATTGCAGGCTGATTAAGCTGCATAAGGAAATTAAAGGTTTGTGTATGTGATATTATGTTTGTGTGTGTGTGTGTGGGTGTCTCAGTCCCAGGTTTCCATCACAGTGGAAGACTACGAGGACACCAGAGAACCCAGAGAGCCCCTGTTGTCCCGGACCGGTGCTCATCGCAACTCCACCTCCTCGGAGCCCGTCTCCACCTCTTCCCACTCCTCGGACCACCCGCTGCTCAGGAGGAAGAGCATGCAGTGGGCACGGCGGCTGAGCAGGAAGGGGGGTCGGAACTCTAGCGCAGCCAAGGGGGGTCCGGGCAGCGCAGCGGAGAGGATCAGCCAGCAGAGACTGACCCTGTTTCGGCGCTCGGAGAGACAAGAACTCAACGCCCTGGTGCGAACGAGGATGAAACACTTGGGCCTTTCTCCAACTGGATTCAGTAAGTCTATGAAAGTTTATATTTCCTGATTTCAAGTATAGGCCTACTACTAGTGGTTGAATGTAACTAAGTACAATTTGTATGTACTTTACTGTAATTTTGCTCTACGTTTTTACTTTAATATTTTATGCTAGTTTGTACTTCTACTACCTGTAATATAAAAGTATTTTTAAATGGTTGCATTACCAATACTTACTTAAGTAAAGGATCTGAGAACTTCTTCCGTTGCTGTTTACAGTCTGCTACTGTCTATGTATTCCGCTTGTGTCCATTTTTATCAAAATTTGTCTTTGTGTTGTGAGTGTTGTGACTCATGGTAACGTAGCCTCTATTCTGTGTCCGGATGTTGCACAGCCTGCTGTATATCCTGTGCCTATTTCATTTCCAGCCTCACTCACCTCTATTCTTCCTGTGTCAGATGGGATGACAGACCAAGGGAACAGACTGTCTTATATCCTCATCAACCCTTCTCCAGACACCAGGCTGGAGCTGCACGATGTTGTGTGAGTGCATTCTACCAAATATAATTGATTGCACTGTAAAATGAACCCAGCATGAAAACTACAAATATTACAGAATTTCTATTTGTCTGTAACCCAATCTGCAGGTACCTGATCAGACCAGATCCCCTCTCTCTGGTACCCAATCAGGGCAGCAACAGAAAGTGCAGCGCCGGCCTATCAGAGAGCCACCGGTTCGATACGCAGGACAGCACCCATCTGTGAGAGACAAAAAAAAATATACTGTCAAAACACTGCCAGAGAGAGGAGAAACAACAACACACTCGCAAGAGAGAATCAGAAATCAAGAAATTGTAAGATGGAAAGAGATGCAGAGAAATGGAGCATGGCCCTCGTATTGTCTCCACATTCAGTCTCGGTGAACTCAGAGGTGCCGGACATGCATGGACCTTTTCTATAACAATGGGAATGTTTTATTTATGCACCTTCCTATTTTCAAAGCGGAGAGCTGCGGACACAGAAGTGCATTTAATGAAAAACTGTTTGTATTTATATCTGTGTATGTGCATGTGTATGTACTGCATCATGTATGTGCAGCGTGTATGGTTGTGTGTGTACCGTATGTATGTGAAAGTGCGTGAATGAATGTTTGTGTATGCTTATGGATCAAGAGCAAGACACTGCCACATTTTATCCGGACAGCCAAAGGAATTTAGCTGCCAAATGAAAGTCAAGGGATGTATTTTTTATTTTATTTTTTTGTCCTTTTTTTGTGTCGTAGGTGTGTTTCGTCACACTTAATGTTGTTTGACGTATTTAAAAGTGACACTACAGTGCACAAACCCTGTGAGGTTTTCTATTTCTTTCTCTTTTTTTCAGTCATCACAAAGCCTTTTGGAAACTTTTTACCTGTTGCTTACACAGTCAAATGCACACATTCGTTTTATGCTCACCAGCAGCGGAGGAATCCAAAGAGCACCAGTCTCAATAATGGACAGCCAGCATGCATCATCAGTGCAGGGCATTCAGTCACATTGCTGTCTGAAATATTTTACTGTCTTCAGTTATGTGAGTTCTCTTAAAAAAAACCCTGTTCCTGAGTTTATTGTTTGCCTGTCCCACTCTCTCTGCTGTCAGTCAGTGTGAGCCGTCCTGCCACCAGCTTGCTTTTGCTGACGCGCATGTTAGAGATGCAGGGGATGGACAGAATAACAGGAACATATACCATAATATAATGCCATCCAGTACAATAGCCCTGCAATAAATATGACCTTTGTGAAGCTTTTAATGTAACATTTTTGAGACAGTGTCAGAGAGGTGTTGCTTCAGCTCTCAGTTTTGAAGCTGATTTATAAGCTTTATAATTAAATATGTGTTATATTTATTGCACACTGCAATAAATATCCACTTTTTCAAGTCATTAGTTAACTAATTAAGAATTCAAATCTATAATACAATTTGGTTTTCAGCCGGAAGAAATCTCATTTCTCTAAAAACAAGTGAAAAATGTGCCAGTGGAATGAGATAATTCTGCTTGTTTTTTTCAGCCTAGTCTACCTTATGTCATAGATTTTCATTTGTTTCAAGAAATGTGAGATTTTAATCTGTTATATTGAAGTCAATTACTTGTTAGGGTGGACATTTATGCTGTTTGTTTACCAAGGATTTGCAAGCCTCTGTAAAATCTTTTGTCAGAAATTCAGAATGTGCCGTTTCACACAGAAATGGTGCAGCCATGTGGTGGGAATGTTAACTGGCATCCCTGCCGACACCACTCCTGTAGCTTTAGTGTGGATATAACAGATGAAAATATGTATATATTAAAGTCAGTCATTATAGCTTGTCATTGTTTCATTGCTTTTTTGGTATTTGTGCAGCTATAACCAGAATCTCTTTGCATGAGTTCACTAATTAGATTCATAATTTGAGCCATATATGTATTAAACCACTTCACATCTAAATAGTCACATTATTTGTATTTCTAAATGAATCTCTTAATTGTCTGACACAGTATGTCTTTTATGTAGTTTACCAAGCTCACATTCGGAGCTATTTTTGCTTCGATACATCAACACTGTGTATGAGTCACGCTAAATGGCTGTAATTCATCATACTGTAATGTTCTCAAGCTCACCAAAGACCACACAATACTGCAATATGTGTTACATCAGTTAGTTTATGCACGCATATGAATTATCAATGTGTACTTTGTGTGGACAAAATAGAGTGTATTTTTAACTAGAGCCCAGCTCACTGGACTTGTCCTTTAAGTTAATCACCAGGAAGACCTTTACTCTTTGTGTTGCCATTGCACTGATTTACACAGAGCTTTTAATATTATGGGCAAACCTCCTCTTGATCTAGAACGTACAAACATGATATCTTCAACTTATCAGTATATAAAATAAGCTTGACTAGTCACAGTGACTTGCGCAACTTTTGAGGCAGAGCGGAAGCCAAGCTTTACACAAACTGCCATATGAGAACATGGGTGTGGCCAGGCCAAAGACAAACATTCTGCAGGGGCTCAATATAAAAGCCTAAAAGGAGAACCGTGCAAACAGAGGCAGAGGAAATGGCAGGGCAGGCAGTCAACGTGCTTATCACCGGAGCCAACAGGGGCTTGGGCCTGGAGATGGTTAAGCAGATGCTGGAGACCTACCGTCCAGTGAAAAAGCTGTTTGCTTGTTGCAGGGACCCAGATGGACCCAGGGCTGAGGTGAGTCTTTACCCACTCTGAGCCCCTACCCACTCTGAGCCCCTACCCACTCTGAGCCCCATTGAGCTCTTAAACAAATAACTGTATTTCTACTAAGAGTGAGTGCAAGTGATCAACAGTGTGCTTCCCCTGAATTACAAACTTGTCTTCTCTGTGTATTTGCAGGCCTTGCGAACACTGGCAAAGAAGCATCCTGATGTCATCTCCATCGTCCGCCTGGGTATAAGCTCTCTGTCCCTCTCTTATACTCTATTAAACTCTCCATCCTGCTCTTATGTCCAGACACACACACACACACACACACTGGCCTTGACTCTATGAATAGCATTGTGTTGTGATATTTACTGTATCTGACTGCCACTGATGCTCCACTTTCTTTCTCTCTCTGTCAGACGCCGCTGACCTTTGTAGTATAAAACAGTGCGCACAGCAGGTGGGCGCTCTGGTGGGGACAGGCGGCCTCAACCTGCTGATTAACAATGCAGGGCTCCTGTGCAAAAGCGCCCTGCAGGAGACCAGTCCTGAGGAGATGCAGAACAGCTTCACCACCAATGTCGTGGGCCCTTTGAACATCATTCAAGTAAGGGAGAGGGAAAGTGACACATCTTAAACACAAAACTTCAACACTGCATTGTTTTGGAATTTAAAGGAAGGAAATTAGGTGGTGCCATGTGTACACTGAAAGTTCCTCTTGTTGGTGGTCATTATTAGGAGTTCCTGCCTCACCTTCGCACTGCAGCAAAGGGCAGTAAGATGCCAGGAATGTCCTGCAGGAAAGCAGCAGTCGTCAGCATCTCCTCAGTTCTGGCTTCAATGCAATGTGTGAAAGATTCATATTCCATTTTCTCTGCAATCCCCTACCGTATCAGCAAGGTAAGAGACAACCTGCTAACACTGTGACCTGCTACTCAAAGGCTTCATCTCTCAGTCATAGAGGGAAACTGTTCCCCTCAATTTCTCTGTTTGTTTGTTTTTCTGTCACATAATTTTCTCTCTTCTCCTCTCTTGTCTTCTCAGGCAGGTCTGAACATGCTGACAGTGTGTGCTGCAGAGGAGCTGAAGAAGGACGAGATCCTGTTTTCTGTGCTGCACCCGGGCTGGGTTCGCACCGACATGGGTGGAGAGGAGGTGAGTCAGCAGTTTTCACTGACCCAACCGGTCTAGTCATCAAGGATACAATAGAACAATGAATACGAACCAGAGTCCGAATGATACGTTCACTTTATTAATTGAGAAGCACAATATTAACATCATGTTGTATAATTTCACTACAAAACTACAGTAGTTATAGTTGAAATCAGTACAATCCACAGACGAAGACTAAGCAGTTATCATGGTGACAGATCTTTTTTTTTTTTTTTTTTTTTTACAATCTAAGCTTCATTCACATTGCAGGATTTCAGTTCACACGTTTTCCTCAGAGCTGATTTTTTTAGGCTAAGTGTTGCATGCGTTCAATGTCTGATACAAGCCCGAACAAATAATCTACCTGTGGTAATCCAGATAGTCAAAAAACAACACCAAATATGTCACACAAAGCAGGAAGTTAGACAACATATCTGTGTCGACATACATAATGAATCATACTCATTATTTGCAAGTCATTGTTATATAGCATAACCATTCCCATAGCTACATGCATCCTTAATTGCTCATTCTGCTTTGTGAAGCTACTGTATGGGATATATACAGTTAGGCCAGTTTGATTAAACTTCCTGAAGTCAACACACAGTTCCAGTGTTTTATAGAAGGTGTAACTGCTTTAGAATATTAATCCTTGTAAAATGGACAGCATTGCCTTGTTTTATTTATATTTATATTATATATATTTTTTTTTATGGTTAGTTTTAAGGCTTTTTTCTTTTTATACATGCTTTGTATTGAATTGTTTTAAATAAGCTTGCAAGATTTTACTGTCCCGATTGCAGCTGTCCTCCATGCTTCCACTTGCCGACATAGATTGACACAGAAGTGGATCACATATAGCACATATTCAGCACATACTGTGGAATATGTTTACATTACATTTACTTTCTATATAGGCTCTATATTTCTTAGGCTAATATTTCCTTTTTTTTTACTTTTTGCTTATATGTATAAACCTATACATACAATTATATTCTATATATTGTGTTAGATTTTGTAATATAAGTATTATCTCTATTTACTCTATTGAGTGGAACAACTGTAACAAACAAATTCCCCCCAGGGATCAATAAAGTATTTCTGATTCTGATTAAAAGTGGCCCAGGTCAAGGCTGAAAATTCAGGCTAGATTGAGTGTGTTTTTTTTAAAGTTCACACAACATTTCAGTTTTGATTTGAACCACTTTTATTGCTTTAAGTGTGAACGCAGCTGTAACATCTCGTCTGTGGGTGGAAACATTGAAATGTCTTTTTCTTAACTTAACTTAGAGCGAGGAGATTTGACCTCCAGTGTGAGCCTTCATGTTGACTGTGTGTTTTTTTTACGACCAACAGGCGGAAATCGATGCTCCAGAGAGTGTGCAGGGGATGCTTCGTGTGATGACTTCCCTGACTGAGAAGCAGAATGCAGGCTTCCTGGATTATAAGGGCCATACCGTCCCCTGGTAGCTCTAAACAACCACTTTCTGCTTCATAAAAAAGCAGTCAATCACTAAATGAACCCATGTGAAATAAACCAATACATGTTCTAATTACTTTGCTTGTATCGTCTTCATTTTACACACAAACATGCACATCATCACCCTAAATGATTTGATTCATATTCGAGTAATTTCTTAAATTTGAAATACTCAGATCCTTTGTAAGGCGTTCTCACATCACCATGTGGCGCTGTTCCACACAGCCACCTTAGCGGGGCAGATTTTAAGTGGTTTGGGGTTATTGCCATTGATGTTGGCTCCAGGGCAGAAGAAGGGGTACATCTTCTCAGTGAAGAAGTCGTTGAAAGTGTAGATGGGTGTCATGCTGATAGGGTTGGAGAAGCTCACCTCTCCAGAGTCATAGTCCAGCTGCACCCTGACTCGGGTCAGCTCTCCCTCCAGATGCAGTGTAGTGCTGGGCCTCGTCATGGCCGAGTACTCTCCCTCGTAGTGGGAGATCATCCAAAAGCCGCCCTCAGGACAGCCCGATATACGACCTTTCCTGTCGATGGACTCCTTCACCACCCCGAGCATCCAGTCCGACTTGTCTCCCACCTCCACCTCCCAGGCGTGGCGGCCCGAGGTGAAGCCCTTTGAGCCCAGCACGAATACAAAGTGGCCAAAACGCTCAGGATTGGCCGGGAGCTGCAGGAGGGATCCGCTGTTGGTGACACTGGTCAGGTCTGCGGAGAGGGACAACCAGGAGTAGGCAGTGTTGGGGTCCAGGGTGATGGATGCTGAAAGGGAAAGAGAAAACACAGACAGTGAATTAGTAATGCACACAAAATTCAAGGATTCGCTCCAGCATTTCCAAAGAGCTTTCAATGACATGCCTACACACAGTGCATAGTGGTCTTCTTCAGGGTCAAACTACTGACTAATAGTGATAGTGAGTGCTTACTGTACTGAACCAGCTCCATCATCTTCTCCCACACGTTGTACTTGAGGGAACTGACATGCTTGGCCACATTCATAAGAACACCTGACAGCTTTTCTGGATCCTTCTGTGGGATCTGCGCTCTGTGAGAAGAAAATCACACACAGGAATCGATTAATACTTACCAACTGTTATGCTGAATCTACTATAAACAGATGCAGAAGAATATAAAACCATTACCTTTTCTTAGTGTTGGCATAATTCTGAAATCAAAGAGAGAGTATTACAAACTGCATGGTTGGATGAATTCAGAGGGAAAAATATATAATATATAAAAACTCTCTCACCTTAAGAAAGAGAGCATCACTGGACGCAATCTCATTTTCAATGGCAATGACAGCGTGAGAGAAGGTGAGGATAGCACTGGTGATGATCTCTGACTTCCTTTTCACCAGCTCCTTCTTCTCCTCCTCCTCCTGCTGCAGGGCAGCTAGTCGGGCCGTCTCTTCCTTCTGCAGAAACTCCCGCAGCTGCTCAAACTCCTCTTTGATCTGCTTCTCTGTGGCCTGAGTCTGATTCTAGCACACATGGAAATATATAATAAAATGAAATAATGTAACTCATACTGATTTGTAGCCTGTTATCTATGTCAGCGTCTACATCTCCTCCTTTGCTTGCCATAACTTAATAAGTTATAATTACTTAGATTTAACTCCCCTTTGGACATCTTTAGCAGTAAGTGCCCCTAATATTTTGTACAATAAATGTATTCCCTGGCTATAAAACAAAAATACAATCGCTATAATACCCTTTTATGACCCTGAAATTTCCTCATTTGCTATGTTTCATACACCTGTTGGATTTAATCTTCTTATCCTAGTTTTGCCATCTGTCTAGTATACCTCTAAAATATTCTACATTATAGTAGGCGCTGCACTAGTTCTGAGTTTAGCAAACAATGCTGATTCAAAAACCTTTTATGAAAGTGTCAACTGACTTCCTGATCTTGTTTTTGAAGCAAACAGTGAATTACAAATGCTCTTGCTTTGACTCCTCCATAAAAACAAACCAGGTGGCCTTTCTAACAACTTAGCTGACATGTTTACACACTAACAGTGCGCAGCTCAACTTCAGTCACAGGGTGGATCTCTGTGTTTATTGATACCTTGATGTGCACAGTTGTGTCATCATACTCCTGCTTGGCTTCATACAGGCAACGCAGGTTTTTCTTCATAGGAATCAGCTCTGTCTTCATCTCTGCCTAAAGGGTGAGGGATAGAGAAAGTGTCAGAAAATATGTATCCTGAAATCCAATTTGACATTTTGTTGACATATGGCACCTATAATCTATATATACCTATAATGGTAATGTTTCTGATGTTCTTGGCTTTGCACGGCTACTAAGAAAGGATGTTTGAAAAGATGTGTGAAATTTTAAAACATGCATTACAATGATTAAACCCTTCAGTAATAATTGAAGAGCCTGTTTAAAACCATAACAAACCGCAGCTAAACAAGAACACATTACCTTGAGGTCCTGAGCTGCCTCGTCCAAAGGACACACTCTGTGTCCCTGGTGCTTCTTGGAGGTGTGACACACACAGCAAAGCGCTTCAAAGTCATCCAGACAGAAGAGCTTCAGAACTTCCCCATGTGTTGTGCACTTCTCCTCCACAATCCCCGCTTGCTCCCCTGTCTCACCGGCCCCTGCCAAAGTTCCAGCTGTGCCGGTCTTGCGCTCCTGCTCCCTCAGGAAGGTGTCAGACACGTTCTTCAGTGCCAAGCTGACTGTGGGCTCAGTCAAAGAGCACTTCCTCCTGCAGATGGGACACTCGCGCCTGGCCTTCTTCTTGTTCCAGAACTGCTGAAGACAGGCTCGGCAGAAGCTATGGCTGCACTTGAGCACCACGGGGTCCTTGAAGATCTCACAGCAGACGGGACAAGATAGCTCCTCTTCCAGCATGGAGCCTGACCGCGAGGAAGCAGCCCGCGGTCGAAGGCCTGAAGCTACCTTGGGACTTTGGAAGAAGGAAAGTATTCCAGGCTGAGAGGAAGCACGTGGGCGCAGCGCCATGGTCAGTTGTTCCTGGTGGGGGGGCTGCTTTATAGCTGTAGTTGTTTGCCCCAGAAAGTACACTGTTCCTCCTGCTCCTCTCTGACTACAGTCCACTGAGTATTCTGGACACAGTTTAAGGGCAACCAGGGTTACAGATCAACAGGGGACTTGAAGAACAGGTTTACTTCACTTGTAGTAAATAAAGGACATGTCACCACCTCATCTGTTAGCCACACCAGGGTTCCGGGGCAGACTCCAGCTCAGTCAAAAGGCATGTTTTTCCAAGATTGTTGCTCAAAGTGCTCTTGCAGCTTTTAATCTATTTTGAGTGAAAAGAACAGCACATTTTTTTTGTTTGGTTTTGTAGTAGGACACAGGTGACGTTGGAAGGGAAACAGAAGTCAGGACAGCTGTTTTAATAATTTAATATACAGTAAATGGTTTTAAATGGAGCTATATAAGAAATAGCAACCTGTTGAATTCATACTCCAAACAAACCGGGGCGCAGAAAATCAGAAAGTTACCGTTAATTGCTGGTAAAGTTAGCTGTCATTAGCTGGTTAGCTAAATTAACTGTGCAACTAGCAGTCCTATTAGCCTGGACACTGAGCCCTGGGGTAGTGTTGGCTAGTGCATGAGCCCAGTGCAGGGGGGACCCACCGGGGAACGCTGGTGTGAAAGGGCACCAGAACCAGAACCGGGCTCAGCAACCCCCCAGTGAACACGGGCAGATTGGGAATAGGGAATATAATACCAAGGTGGTTTATAGTGGATCCAACCAGGACTCTGTGGCACAAAGACACGACGCTAGGTGGGGACAGGAGAGGCGAGGAGCGGGAGGTAAGTCAGGCATCCTACGGAGGCCTGAGCAGGGGCGAGGGTGGGGTCAGCCTCGGGATGCAGGGAGCCAAACCGGGCAAGAAAACCACCTCAGTATTGTTGGACTGAGGGCAGACTGGACGCTACTCACTCACTATGACCTCTTGAGGTACAAAGTGGTATTACGAGACAGGACAGGCAGGGATTAGCTGATTAGCACGCTAAATTCTGTGGATCTCTCTGCAACACAATACATAGACATCCATCACATAACATAAAAAAAATTTTGTTTCTTCATATTATCGATTTTTTATTAACTAAATTATTTTCAGATTGCTCCTTTAAGTATCAAACTGGGACAAATCTTCCTGGATTTTAACACGAGGCCTGTAGGTAACCCCATTGAGCTTGACCAGCACTATCAAGTTCACCAAAGTGTATCTTATTACCTTACCTCTGATGGCCTGCTGCCACTCAAAGTGATTTCACTGTCTAGTTAAATGTCATGTATATTTCAGGAGGACACAGGAGTGAGAAGCAAACACAAACACATGCCCCCAGGGACAGTGTCTGCGAATGCTGGAAAAAGTCTCTCTTTACTTTACTGAACAGCAGAAAGCAGCTAAGAGTGTTGGATAATCTGATCCAGGCAAACACTTCTACAGACCAAACCAAAGTGTTATGTAATCCTAATTTAGCACAGTGTTGTGTTCAGGAAAAGACCAAACAGAAGGAAAACTGCCATGTCGATGTTATTATTGCATTATAATTGGACATTGACAACAGTGTAATACAAAGCCATCAAAATAACGTGTTCTTCTCAGTGTTACAGTGTTCTAGCATCAGTTTCATTACATAACCCATTTAGATATTCATTAACTCTGAAAGAGTGAAACAAAACTACAAAATAGCTTCATACATTTGGATATACTGAAAAGGTTAACACCAAAAAGTTTGCTTGTTTGTTTTTTTTTAAGACGTGTTTGCCTACGCTGAGTAGTTGGTGCAGCATTGCCTGTTTTTCCTCTCTATGAACAACACAAGTCACAAGACACATGATGGAAGTAGTTTGGTATCGTTCTGCTCCAATGACAGGATACTTGATTTTTCAGCACCATGCACCAGAATGCATACTTCTCACAAGAATGTAAAAGAAAAAGAGAAAACAAATGAAATGAGAAGAAATGAAGGCCTTTTGTTCTTAACAGATTCCGTTTCTTTTCTTTTTTTTAAACACAACTACTCCATCTCACCACTTTCTCTCCTTTAATACTGCCCTCTGTAATGCTGCAAAACAATGAAGTAGTTGCGACACAAGATCAAATTCTTCACCTGTTACACAAACCTTGTTTTAAAATAGACATCACATCACTTTATATAAAAACACTAACTATATAAAAAAAAAATAAAATAAAATAAGTCAACACAATCCACACACCTGGAAACCACTCCACTTCTCATTCTCGTATAATGACCTTCAATAAAAGGTAAAATTAACACAGATTTTCCGTGAGCCTGTCGAATGTATGAAAGTATGACAGGAATGTGCTGCAGTTAACTTCATTACAGCATGGAGTGTGACGGTGAACGAACACCACAGATCTTTTAGTCAGCGAGCTACACTTCACTATGACCTTTTTGAAACTACTTTTTTTTTTCTTCTCTTTTACCAAAATAAAAGAACATGAAACCAGCAGAATTCATTAATAATCATCAATAATAAAAAAAAAACGTAACAGCACATGCTTGTAAAACTGATCCGTAACAGTAACATCGAGCGGTTCAGGACGACGCTGCAATTCAGGGGAAGTCGACGCCTTGTACTGTGCAATAGCTGTGCCGCTCACCAGGTGAGGTACAGTGCAATCTCCGTTCACTTCTGTTGGTTTACAGCGCAGTGCAACACAGTGAAATGTGGAAAAAAGAAAAATCACATTTGTTTTATTCTAACCATCAAAGATCTACCTTGCGTTAGCCGTTTGTCTTTCATTTCTCCTAAATTAGAGATGTGTGCTGTCCACTGCCAGCAACTACAACAATGACATGCGGGGTCACGTGATGCGGTCAAAGGGAATGGTCATCAGCGTGCTTGTAGTTTCTGGAAAAAGCCGGAAGACAAATAAAAGCACTTGGGAAGTCATCACAGTCTTCTTCTCCCATTAACTGGCATAATGCTCTTTGTCTAGGCAGAGTCTCCCAATCGGGTACACTCTAAATTAAAAATAGTAGGAGTATACACTGGAATAAAAACAAACTCATGGCGGTAGTGTTGTGTTTCCTAGTAGTGCTGAATGTTGTGGGTGTCACGCACGAACACGGGTTGCTGTGCTCCGTTAGTTTCTGTGGTTACACCCGTCCAACCTTAGCGTCGCCGATGGCACCCCAGACGTCGAAAACAAATTCATCCGGGAAGGCGAAGTCTCCCAGGGTTTCATCTAAAGCCTCGGCGAACTCATCGGGGTTCTTCTTGTCCTTTCCCAGCTCCACCATGGTGGCCGCTGAGGAGACGGAGAGGAGATTTAAGGGAGAGAGAGCAGAGAGAGAGAGAGAGAGGTCAGAGAACACTTGGTGAACACGAAACTGCAGGTGACACAAACTAATTCTGACACCTCTAGGAGACAACACGCATACCCAGCTCGCTGTCTCTGATGCCCATGTAGCTCTCAAGCAGGTCATCCACCTTCTCAATTGCCTTTTCCTCAAATGCAGACGGCTGGAGAGGACAAAATCCAACACGCACACTCAGGCAATGTAACAGAGTTATGTTTGCTACACATTACAGAGACCCATTGTTATGTACAGCTGCTGCAGACGCACTCACCACTTCTTCCACAGTAGCCGGCCCTTTAGAGCGAAGCCTCAGCGTTCCCCTGCCGGTCCCCAGCTGAACCCCTGATGCTGACCTGGAGCCTCCAGACCGCTGGCTGATCATATCTGCGCACAATGATTCAACAGAGTCAGACTCACTGCTGTTATTCTCCTTCTTTTACACTGCTGAATATCACACCACGATGCCTCCCTTTTAGACAATCTCATCTCATCCTCATCACCTCGCTGTATATGTCTGACTATTAGTGCGTCAGCTGTAAATGCACAGTCTAACTGAAGACAATAGACCCAGAGGGCACTTCAGCAGCTTAATATGTGCAGGAAAGGTGCAATAAGATTCTAGATTATCAACCATAAACATGGAATCAGCAGCAAAATAGGGTGTAAACAACATGTAGTACGGTGACTGAAACACTGCTTTCACAGCCTCGTGTGACAGTATTATTTACCATCAGTGACAGACAGGGATTGATTGACTGAGGGACTGAGACTGTGGAGCTGAACAAACAAATATCTCAATTCAGCTCGCCTCTCCTTCCTCCCACACCTACCAAAGGCCTTAAGAGGCTCCGTCAGCTTGATGGTGAACTCCTTCCCTTTGGGCAGCTCCTTCAGCATCTTGGCCACCTCGTAGTGTCGACAACCGATCAGGCGATGGCCGTTGATCGACTCAATCATGTCGCCCACGTTGATGACCTGGATCTGGTGGATGACGCTCCCTTCGCGGATTCTCTGAAAACAGCAAAATCCCAAAATATATAATTCCAATACACTTTTCCAGCTCATCGCTCTCTCCCACTACCACATTTTAATTTATTCATATTTCACATTCATGGCTTTTCCTATTCGTGGACCCTTGAGTTTAAAGACATCAGTTTCCTGTTTTAACACGTCTCACCTTAATGAAAGCGTAGCCGGCTCCATTATCAGTGATCGTCAACCCTAGTGCGTCCTCTCCTTTGTACACCTCTATTTCCTTTCGCTGTCCTTTAATGTGCGCAAAAATAAAGTCCTCTAGCCCAATCTGACCTCCCAAAAGTTTATCCATGTCCACCTTGTGAGTGTTCAGTGTGCAAAACATCACCTGCGGAGAGACACAACACAACAAACAAAGATTTAGCAAAACGCGTTCTCCCCTGGTGAGTTTAAGCCTCACACCCATCCCAATCAGCTTGAACCCGGCTCACCTCAGACGGAGGTATCCCAAAGGCCTCGCCAATCTTGGCGTAGAGCTCCCGCACGTTGCTGAAGCCCTCGATGCGACCGGTGGGGCTGCCGTGAGCCAGCTGAGTGTGGAATATGAGGCGAGGTCGCATGCTGCTGGGTGGAGGAGGCAGACCCTCAGAGGTGGCGCCTTCTCCCAGCCCGACCACGCCTCCATCTAGGCCATCCACACCTGGCACATTGAGACCCGCACGGATAGGCTCGGCTTCCTCGTTCTCCACTAACGGGGACGCCTTCTTCCTTCTTCCCAAACCCAGAGGCATAGTAGTCCTTACAGGGAGAGCAGAGGGAGGGCAGGGGAGGAAGCTGCTCTCGGGGGAGTTATGCTACAATCCAGGCCAACATACACCTGTTCAGCCAAATCAGCTGCAGGTCTGTTGGATAGCTGTGTCGCAGCAGTAGTATGGTCCTCCAGACCAGCTCCAAAGCGCTCTCAACCAGGTGCTGTATGGACTTAAAAATCCACACATCAGAGCAGATTACATAGCTGGATCTGTCAGTGTCCAGCAGCCTGCAGTGGTGGTCTTCAGCTGTGAAACAGAAGCAGAAGCTCTTTATATTTCATTCATATATATATCAAAGCTGTGACATCTCGATCACACCAAGCTTAACAACGCCGTGTCGTTACATCTCCTTAAAACAGCAGCTCTGAAATGTTGCTTGTCTGTTTCTTTTCTCTTCCTTTAACTTTGGACAGTCAGGGGCATCAGACAGAGCTAATGTTAGCTGCTAGCTGTGAGGCACATTTCCCCCCCAAACACATCCTCCACTTCTTCAACACAAACAGCCACTTAGCACGTCGGCTAACTAAAACACCAGCTACCTGAATCAGTGGCTGTTAATGCCTTTTGGTAGCAGTGAGTGAACTTACAGCGGGAGTGAACCCTGCTCTACAACAGGAGGGAGTAAACATGGCAGGCCACTCATTCTTACCGGAGCAGGAGTTTCAGCAAAACTGTCGTTAGCTCTTCCTGCTAGCTCAGCCTGCTAACGGTGCTGTGAGTTGTTTTAAAAAAAACACACACAACAAAACAAAAAAAAAAACAAGCGTGATGATTCCGGGCAGAGTGCAAATATCTTTTGTTCCTCCTCTCTGGACAGGTGGACTGGACCCGGGCAGATTAGCGGGGTGAGTGCGGTGTCTGTGTGTCGGTATGCTGCTGCAGATTTTAGCTTTCTGGCAGCCCAGCAGGGGTGGAACTGTGACGCCTTCACGTTTCCTCGTAAATCCCAACTTCCCGTTGATTGTTCTGAAAATAAAACAACAATAAAAAACGGTCTGTACGTCGTGTTTCAGCAAAATAATGAAGAGGGGGGGAGGGGGGGGGGATATGAGTCAGTAAGTGTGTTATTTTTTTTGGTTAGACTTAAATTTAGGACTTTAAATTAGCCCCGGTGTTGCTGTGTCACAGTCACACGTATTGTCATTACGCTACAGGCATTAATTGAGGATTAGGACAAATTGGCTTGTTCTGTCTCTGTCGAAAGGTTTATTTTAAATTGTGCCAAGTGTTTGCATGCAACTATGCCTGTCCTTACGCCTGTTATTTAGAGCGTTGAGGGTCTTGATTATACAATGTCCCCCGGTAGTCTCAGTGCATAACTACACTTCTGGCGTTTGTAATCGTTTTATTTTGAAGGTTAGAACCGGAAGTGTTGCTATGCAATTCTGTCGTACTTGATGCTACTCACAGTGGCTAAAAGAGAGTATAATGATTATACTTCTTTTTGACAAGTTAGTCAAAGGAGGTAATCGGATCCTTTAAAGCTACTTTCTTCATCAGAGTTTTATTTGTTTAGTTTCGATGATAATGTGTAGTTACAAACACGAGTTTTACTGCCCTCCAGCGGCCAGAGTGAGTAATTATAATGGCACCAGTGTGAAGGTAGAGACAATAGCATAGTGATACTTCCGGTCAAAACCTTCAAAATAAATACAGAGCTGTAGTTAGGGACCATGGCCGGTTTTAAACACAACCATTAATGTAGTTAGCTTGTGTCTGAAAGCAAGAGATTAGGTTTGAATTTAATTTTGGAGTTATTTGGAAATGACAAAGAAAGTGCTCTTTTTGTACAACAGACGAAGAATGTTAACATATTATTTTGCATTATTCGTCCAGGTGGTTAAAGGAGGTGTTTAGGAAATATTGTCAGGCAGCAGTAGCAAAGTGTTGTGCAACCTTGTTTTTCTATAGATAGATATGTATTTTTCAAAGGAATGGAGGGTCAAGCCCTGTGACTCACATGTAAACACACAAAACGCACTAAATGGAGTTTTAGTTTTCCTACCTGGGGGGACCTAAGTTCAGAAAACTATTAGTAAAAAAAAGTCTTTATTAATACAGTCATTACTAATACTGATATAAGTTTTGTTTGTAATAATCGTACTAACAATAAGCTGTACACATTAATACACATTAATAAAGGGTATATCCAGGGTTTATCTATATATATGCAGAGTACAATGGCAGTGTTTCATTTTTAATGTTGCACCACAAACTAAATTTCAGATAATATATCTTTATTATACATTATTTTATTATATTATACTTTTATGATCATTTAGATGAAGTGAAGTGAAGCCCCAAAACATAATAATAATAATAAAAATAATAATACACCCCAATCAAACCTAATTTTATATTAATGTTACACAGATTCAGTATAGCGCTGCAGTTTCCCAGTTTGACCAGCAGAGGGTGGTGAACATTGTTAAATATATAAACGGAGATGAACAAACGAATCACAAATAAAAGAGCTTATTGTAATAAGTTATATGCTGCAGAGGGTTATGTTGGTTTATTAATACAGATGTTGCTTCAAACTTAACTATGAATATTCTAATTGATACTTCTGAATTAATAATACAACTATAACCCGTATTCATGAATCTTTAATCATACCATTATTGTTTTAAGTTGTTTGTAATATTCATAATAATAATATTATATTATATTATATATAATTTATAATTATAAATAATAATGAGTTAATTATTCACAGTGCTAAATGATCAACGGAAGTTTCAGCTCTGTGGTTTCAGTAGACCTGTTTGTCAGATATTTTATCCATTTATTTATCCAGATATTATCTCTTTAAATTACTGTTGATGTTGAACTTATTTAAAGGCATCAAAGTTTGCTACAAACCAATGTTGCTTCAACCTAAAATCTGTAAAAACAAAATGCTGCAGACGCATGCAGAAAAACTAACAACTTTTCTTGAAGCTTCTATTTTCAATCATAACCTCCATCAAATGAATAATCACTTAGAAAGAGTGTATTGCATATGTGAATACTCTGGGATCATGCTTTAATTGCCCCCAATAACTAAAACACGTAGGCTATAATTGATTAGATATTTGCCAGTCTCTTTAATGTGGAAATGCAAATCATCACAGCATAGGAAAGATCTATTAAAAATGTCTCCTCACATTATCAATTCATAAAAGCTTTGTTCTTAAAAACCAAAATATCTCAAACCCCAACCTGAGGAATAAACATAAACAGGAGATTAAACAAAATAATGTTTACACATTTTTCCCCTCAAAAGGAAAATGTTTGAGAAAAAACAAAAACTTTTTTTAAACAAAAAAAAGATACACATTACAGAGATTACACATCTCTACATTCATGTTAAACCACAGGTTTGTGTCAAATTAGAAACTTAAAATCCCAGCAGGAGCAGGATTAAGTCACATCACCAAAAATGTGAAAATAAACCAAATGATTTACTAACTTCCATCATCAATACAGTCAAAGGTGCACAGAGCTCAGTAGTTATTCTAAAGTTCCCACTGAACTGTCAAACTACATATTTCTGTACATCTTGGAGCGAATGCTTTCAGGGGTGAGCTATAAGAGAAGGCATGAAATGAGACAGAACAATCAAACATAAAAATATATTCTGGGGGGCCTTTTAAGTCTTTAAGTCTTATACGTGTTTTCACGTGATACCAGACGGATGCACCGGGTTTATACCGTGTTGGGTAAAAAGAAATAAAGTCACTGGCTTTGGATTAAAGTCAAACAGACAGGACTAACATCAGATGAGGGGGGAACAGACTGATCGTTGTGCAAACTCAAAAAGGGCACGAACGAAGTAAACGCCTTAAGATTTTGGGTAGCTGGTCAGTCACACATGACAGGACACACACATGCTCTCAACACACACACACACAAACATATTATAATTACACAGGGACTATTATTTGGCACAAAGTCTTCCCATAGATATTTTACACAAGTAACAAACTGTGTACTCCCAAATAAACAAGTTATTGTAAAAGTAAACATTTTGCCAGATGTGCCAGGGATAGACCAATCGGATTTATTCACCTCCTGAACTTAAATATCAGACTGCTCTCTCTTCCTTTATATTTAAAATCTGTGTATAATGCTACCCCCCTCACTGGGAACTCACTGGAATCACTCTTATGTACAATTACAAAACTGGAAGTTTATATTTATTCTTAACTGGAGACGTCCGTACATTATAATTTCTAGGCCTGTGCATATTTTAGATGATATTGTTCTATAATAATTGTCGCCAATACTGATTCATAAAGTCAGTATTAGTGCTGAAGCCGTGGATCAGATCACTGC